CAAAACATTGTTTGAAGTTGTATGAATTTGTGTTTTAACAAAGACACCAAACACAGAAATCATATTTGCAATATTCAATACATTTGCTTCTAGTGCAACAGGCCATGCCGGCGTGCATCATCAGCATTTTATGGTTTAATTTTTGCATTTTCGAAGCATGTTTTTCCGACAGCCAGCCATACCAAACCCTTAGCCCACGGAGCACACGTGTGAACCCGTATTGTCTTGGATCAAAAAGCGCATTAGGACATCTTTTAAGTTTGGATAACAGCAAACTGACCAAAGACGCCTTCCATACTCCCAAGAGGCATTCAATAACCAACTCCATCAGGTGTCGCAAATCACCTCTTTCAATGTCCAAAACATCATGTCCGAGACCACAGTCTCCCTGACATCAATGTCCAAGAAACCCATGTCTGATAGCACATTGACCTTGGGCTCGCCGACACAAATTAAACTAAACTACGTTGTAAGAGCTCCTTCCTTCTCTAGATTTGACACGAGGAAACATGTCCTTGGCTGCCTTGGCTTCATCTGAGACCCCAATCTCCGAGACGACGACGTCCGAGACCTGAATGTCGGAGGCATTCAATGAGAGCAGAAAATACCACGAACCAATTTGGGGGGATGTTCAACACCAAAAAGACGAGGGGGAACTGTTTTTAGTTCGTTGCCCACCTCCAGGTCATGTTGCCCAAACCCCCCAGAACACGCACATGAGACGTGCCGGTTGGTGGCTGAGTGGTGTCGGTGGCTGACGTGAAGATGCCCGGGTGTGTTGAACAACGGACGTACGGCAAAACGACGTGTGGCGTGTGGTGTTTTCCTTTCGACGCCGAAACCCACTGGACGCGTCGGTGGGCTGCCCGGCGGAACCGCCGCGTCTCGGCTGTTGGGCGCTTGGCGGAACCGTGGAACCGCTGTGGACTCTTGGCCCTCCTTCCCCCCGTACACAGGATGCCTCATCCACAGACAGCCGACTTCCAATCAATGCGTCAGTTCCTCGCCCAAACTCACAGATGGGCGAGTGCTGCATGCTTGGAAGATGCCATCCTCTACTCAACTCATTTCAGTCTACATCAATTCAACCTCCCACAGTGAGTGAACGGTTTCCTATCAAATGAAACACACTTCCGTGGTTTAGCTGTGAGTGGGCCAAGGTGGATGATCAGCACCCAACCTTTTTGTCTCATGGTATGCAGGTAAGCAGCTCTCACGTTGAAAAGAATAGACTAGCACGACCCTCAACAGTCGAAACATGAAAAGAAGACAATACAAGGTGACCCTATTCCTATTCTGATGCACTTCCGTTTATATTCCCGAAGACATGGAGTGTTCCATATTGTACACCCAGACTTGTTCCGTTTGAAAGACATGGTGTGACAAACTGGGTGCCATGACCGATGGGCGTCGGTGCCTTGGTCCATCCATTTGGTCCTAGTAGATGTCATTTCTGGCTTTGGTCATGGCACATATCAGTTGGTTTCTCTGCACTTGTGATGGCAAAATTCTTCTCCTTCATATTCCTTTATGTCCTTTTTTGCACTCCTGAAGGTACTTGCTTGGCTCACCGCCATGAAGAGCCTGTCGTGGCCCCTGTGACCAAGCACTCGTGCAAGGTGCTTTGGTCTTGGCAGATTATGTTTTTCGATGGGACAACCATTGATTAAGACTATTCACTATTCAATTTTTGAAGAAAAACTCATTGGTTCCTCGGAGTTCCTCGTGATTCGTGGTACGTCGGAGCTGAGTTGGTCGAGCCGGTGCCGTCCCAACATGCCACAGTCACTTCACCAGTACGTGCTGCAAGTGGGATCCTCGATGGTGATGTCAGCGGCTGCTCCTCGATGGTATAGATGAATTGTACTCAGTCAACTCATTTGGATTTGCATCAATTTGCTGGATGGAGTTTACAAAAACCACCTCAAACGCAACTGTCGCAAGGTCAAAGGTTGGCCCTTTCAATATTGGCTTTGCCCATCAGATCACACAGGCTGGCATCCCGAGTTTGTCCTCACAGATTTGACAAGTCCAACTGACGCTGAATACCAGGACGATGAGACCATATATCTTAAACCTCTGATCCGAATGGTGAGGTATTGTTGAAGATTTCTGGTGCATCTTTGGCTTTTGACAAGCAACTTCTACTCCAATCCTGATCCATCTAAGTAAATCATCTCCCCCCAGTGATCTCTGACAGATCCAAGTCTCGCGCGTGTCCATCCACCCGCCCCTCCACGCCCGGGGGCCCGGAAGGGCCTAGGCTGGTGGAAGCCAATGGGGATGAATGTGTCAAGCCATCCAAATGGAAATCCAAAACCACTTCCAAAACGAATGATCTCTGTTGATCCCAGTAGAGAAGAAAAGTCATTTTGCATGGGATTCTTGGGATCGCTTCCCCAAGAGGAGGAGGAGGTCCTCTCAAATGGGAACCACCTGTCCTCGCTTCCCCAGTTCTTGTTTTTGCCCCCAAAAGAAAGAAACAACTTCCGCCCAGGGATGAACAAGTTCCTCCTCGCCCTGCACGGCAGAGAAGTGCCGCAGCTCACCCCGCCCGGCGGACGCAAATGGAAACGGATCTCGTTTGTCAAAGCGTGCAGATCAATGGACTGCCATTCTCCAGATTGAACGATAATCACAATGAATGCTGCTGGGAAGGTAGGATGTTCACGGACTTTCCTTTCAATTTCAGCTGAGCGACAGAAGAATAATCTTGTCACACTGTAATTACAGGTAACACGACTGGCTAAGTTTTCAGCTACCAAGAAATGTGTGGGATGTTTACGTTGCCTGCTGAATGGTTGCCATGGCCAGTCATTCTCTTGCTACAAGCCGTGTTTGAGCAATGCGCCAACATTTCAATCAACCATCATGAACAAAAGCGAGGTGTTCTTTCTGGTCCGTTCTAGAGAAGAACTTTCTTGATCGAAGATGAAATGATCTCTGTGAGTTGTTTACTTCCGAAACATGCCGATTTCCGTGGCAAGGTGCCAAGGGTGGCTCCACAAGACCGTGTGGCGCAGCCGGTGTCGCATCGCAGCTGTGCCCCAGCATGAGGGAGTCAAAGATCCCGATCACTCTTCACTCTCGACATGCGAGACGTTTGTTCCTTCTTTCTGTTTTCTCAGAGATCCGGCGCTTTCCTTCCATGGGATGAAGGGCATGTCCGGGCATGTTGAGCATAAAGCTGGACCACTCGAAAGTGACTTTGCATGTTTTGTGGGCTCAAAAGGCAGGGCTCTTTTTCTGCGTGTCTTTCCATTTCCGTGCGAATGCGTGTCTTTCTCCTGCTCCAGCTGGTGGCAGTACCGCTTGCCGAGCGACCGGGTCATGGGCTCTTGGATGTGGACTTCGATGGTTGGTCATTCTTAAAATGTGACACCAAGGCAGACCTGGATGATCAAGACTTCTTGGAATGCTTGAGCTTGCTCAATTTCAGGAAGGTCACATTAGACCAGTTTGATCCGCAAGGGATGGGTGCTGGTGGCCCACCCAGGTGCGGCGCGACGACGAAGCCTGTCCGCACTATTGGTGAATGCATGGGCAGTGAGAAGCCAAGCCAGTCTCATTTTGGAAGCAGAACGGTCGTTGTGACCAGAAAAGATAAGGGCATCCAATGCCAGGAGTACCAGGTGCCAAGGAAACCAACCCCTCTGTGGACCGAGTGCAGCTTCATCGACCTAATAGGCGGTGATGGTGAAAGCCAAGACCCAACTGATGGTGAAAGTCAAGACTGGGGTAAGTTCCTTTTCGTGAGGTATGGACACGAGGAGATACCAGCTTGTCGAGATCAGACCGTGCGTAATCAGTTTCCGAAATACTATATACAGTGCCTGGAAGCTCTGGGCTTTGTGCCATTTCAAGCGCAAGACTCCAAGAATTGCAAGGTCAAGACAGAACTCCGGAACAAACATGGGGCCTTTACCCCCGCTGCATGCTTGATGACTTCCCATGAGCCAACAGTCGTTGTAGGTCTTTCAACAGAGATGCAGTTTACCTGTGGTTTCTACCCTGAAGAGTGTCTGGACACCTTCACACAGTCCGAAGTGGATGCGACAAGTGCTGACATCAAGACGCTTCTTTGGACGAGATCTTGGATACACAAGACCTGATCGCATCAGTGTCGCGCAGGGAAAAAGGGATTCACCGAGGGTCACTTGCTGTGGAGGTTTGTCTGGCTGATTCATACTTGGTTCAAAATTGGAATCACTAGCAGACTTATCCCTGGGTATCGTTTGGGCGGCCTAAACTCTAAGGTGAGTGCGGTGCGAAGAGGCAGGAGGCAAAGAAACAGCAGAAGCATCGCAGACCTTCGAAGTATTTTAGTTTGAAGAGAAGCTGGATCCATAAGATGCAACCCAGCTGTTTCGCCAAGCTTTCTTCCAAGGCTTCTTGGTCTTGGTATGATACACATCGTCATAAAATACACCAGTAACTACTCACATCAGAGAATCAGATACAAGTGTGAACGTGCTCGAGCAAACCACTCCCACCCCCGATTTGGCAGGTGGAGAGGTTCTTCCCCAAAACCAGCCATTTCAGCTATGCAGCAACAGACCCAGCATGTTCGCAGAATTACATTCTACCGTCGTTGGTTCAATCAGATACTGTTTGGCAAACCTAGCCCTATCAGAGTGCACAGTCCGCAAAGCTTGGTTGTTCAATGTTTGGTTGCAGCATGTTGCAGCTGTACATCCTTTTCTTTCATCCGAAGTCGTACGTACAACTTAACATGTGAATGTTGCAAGCTAAGTATGTGGTACCTGGTACTTGCAAGTTTGGGGCAGTTCCAAAATGGGGGGCAATGCATTTGGACAGCAGCCAGCAAAGTGTATCCGGAGGAAGTGGGGCCATTGGCAGCCCTTGGCAGCCCTTGGCAGCAGGGCGCCTAGCACTTCAGATATACCGCGGTCAGTTGCGATTCGATCACAGGCTGGTGAGACCGAGATCGAAAGTCACTCGAGTGAAAGTGTTCCAGAGAAAGCAGGAACAAATTTTCCATATCCAGAAGCACAACAAGAAACTTTGCGCTCCGGGGTGGGTGCCGAGTGCAAGACTTTTTTGCAGAGCACAGCTAACAGGAAACTTCAGGGAGTGTGATGCCGCGGAAAGCTTTCAGCAGGTGTTTCACAACTCCCCTAGCAGCTCTGCATGACAACTGACAAACCCAGTTGATAAGTGCTTGACTGGATTGTGTTCATTTACCGTGGCTGGACAAACTTGCTTTAAAATGACAACCTTTGTAGAGGAGGGCAGGTTCTTGTAGAACACGACTTTCCGCTTTAGGCTCAAGATGTACTCCACGTAGGTTTGGCAAATTTGCCATTACATATCACAGATTCAAAAGATGATCCTCGCACTGACATTGCTTTTTTGCAACATTGGGACGTTGTGTTTGTCCCTCCGGGTCTACTGGGAGACTGGAGAAGCTTTTGGTCATGTGCAAGGCAAGAGCGAGGCAGAGATCTGCGACCACTTGACACGTGGCACGGCGGACGAAACGGTATTGACGACACGGTCGATCTTCTCGCTTGCATCAGCAGCCTTCGAAGAAGGTGATGGACGAAACGGGATTGCCGTGTTGCGCTGCCTTGTGGGATTGAACATCTCCTTGAACGTCCGAAATGCCGAAGCAGAAACCTTGCTCTTTCCAGCCATTCGATCTGAAAATGTGGATGCAGTGGCTTTCTTGATCAAATCTGGGGTGGCAGTGACTCTCAGAAGTGACAAACAGGAATCGCCTGCAGAGAAAGCAATAGTGCAAGGATGTGGAAGATGTTTGGAGAAGCTGCTGGATGTGGGAGTCAATCCCAATGAAACTTCCCCAGCCAAGTGCAGGCAAAAGTACAAAGTCACCTGCAAGACTGGATGGACATTGGTGCATTATGCCACAGCTTTTGGGGGTGATGGAACATTCCTAAAGATCCTGAAGGATCACCATGCGGATTTCAACGCGCGGGACGCCCATCGATTGAGTCCCGTCCACTGGGCCGTCTTGCGCCAGAAGATCCAAGCGCTCTCGAAACTTGGACACTTCGGCGCCAGTGCGAAGCTCAGATTTCGGACAGGTTTGGGCAGCTGGGAGAGGCTGGGAGTGGTTTGCGCAGCTCAGATCGGAGCGGTTGGCCTGTGCGGACCCCTTTCCCAGCTGCAAACTGTGTGTCAAAGGTGAAATCACGAGATGAACAGTTTGCAGGGGAAAAGTTGCTGTGTTCGGACATTGTTTGGGTAGTTCCGTGTGGTGCAGCATGCATTTCTTCCGAGGTTTCGACGTGTCGGACAAGCAGGGCTACACTCCCGCCCATTTGGTTTGTAATTTCCTGAAGAACAAACCCGAGAGCGTGCGCTATTTGGATACTTCCTTGCACTGCACAGGATTGTTTTCCTTTTTTTCCTTCTTCTGGCTTTGTGCCTGATTTAATATGGAGAGAGACCATGGAACAACGAAGAATGTCATTTGACACATGGCAAACAAGTCAGGAAATTATAAAAAGAAGTGGAGGCAGACTCAATGCCACAGATCAGCACAAGCAGACACCAGCTCACATTTGCGCGAGGAAGGGGGCATCACATCTCCTCAAGTTCCTCTATGAAAATACAAAAGAATCCTTTGAGGTTGTCGACTCAAATGGAAAGACACCAGAAGCTCTTGCGACGGGTGCCGCTGGGCTGTTTTTGGCCAATGCGAAAGCTGCGCAAGAGAAGAAAAGAGCTGAGGAAGAGAAGACAAGAGCGGAGGAAGAGAAGAAAAGAGCGGAGGAAGAGAAGGACAAAGCCGAGAATGCAACTGCAGAGATCAAGCGAATAGCAAGGCAAGAGAGAGTCCTTGTAGAGAAGTGCAAGGACGGAGTTGCGGGTTCTTGGCATTACTGGGCTTAAGATTTGTCGAGCTTTGGGAGCTGGAGCTATAGTAGTCCTCATTCAAAAGAATTTAACAACAAGACAGAGTGACATGCAAGCCATTCACACGACGCAAATACTTAATCACAACCAGCTCTTCAAGTCGCTCTTCGTTCGTTCCAAACGAACCGGTCAGAACCTGTCCATGGACGTCGACCAGCTTTTTGACTGTGCCAACAACACGGCCATCAAGGTCCCACAAGGCAGCCATGGATTCTTCAAGCCTTGTGTCAAGGATTTACTTGATTGCATCCAGTCATCCTCTTTCTTTCTTTCTTTCTTTCTTTCTTCCTTCCTTCCTTCCTTCCTTCCTTCCTTCCTTCCTTCCTTCTCTCTCTCTCTCTCGTTCTCATGTAGCTGAAGTTAGCTGAACTTCATGCTTTCCAGTTTGCCTGCTCCGCAGGCTTTATGCTTGCGGGAGAGAAGTTTTGTCCTCATGGCAACTTGTCCTGCGCAGTCCTGTGCCCGAATGCCTGGGCATGTCCAAACCACTCAGTGGCCTTCATCAATGACGCCATTGAGACGAAAGAAAACCAATGTAAGGAAGGCTATGACGAGAAATCTGAAGGTTGCAGCAGGCGCACTGTTTGGAAAAGGGAGCATGACAATCAGTTCCCCATCTCAACATGGATTGCCTGGACACGGCCTTAACAGAGGCCATTCTCATTTGATATCTTGGCCGTATGTAACGTATATCGCCGTTGCCTGTAGCGGTTGCGTGGCGCAGGTGTGCGGCTTCCTATGGGCGCCAAAGAGAGGATCCTTTTCAATGTAAGAAATGCCGAAAACCGTGGCTTCAATGGCTTGCTTATGTTGCCAAACCGACCGGCATCTATGCTGTCAGCCTCTGGACGGCGCAGAAGGTGGAGAAGGGTCGCCTGGGCTCTCTCCTGAAGATTTGGCTTGCCTTTGGTGTGGTGGTCGCTTCCATTTTACCAAGCATCACCTCCTCGCACAGGGTTGAGGCTGTACATGCCCATTTTGCCGAGTTCGCAAAGGATTCTGTGGAAACAGGCTGGGCAAAACATGCCGTAGAGATGTGACATGCCGTCTTTGAGTGACCCGGTAAGGCACGTTTGATCTGTTCGTTTGATCAGTTTCTTGTGGCGTAAGCAAGGATGACTGATGTGTATGGATGTCTGTGACTGCGTAGTTTCGACATATCGGGCTGAACCTGAAGCTTTGCCCTTGTTTGGAGCTTGGCCTTCTCGGTTGCAGGTGGAGAAACAGCATCCATGGCGACGCTGATCAGTGGTCCAAGCTACGATTGCTTGCTTGGCGGAGAAAGCGCCTCGATGACGGCGTGGCTGGGGCTCTCATGTGCTCCAATGTTGGTGCTGTGGGTGCTGACGGTGCTGTGGGTGCTGGTGCAGTCTATGCAACTTCAAGAGACCGAAATGCAGATGCAGCGGCTGATGGAGGGTGCTTTGAAAACCAGCATCGTCATCATCAACTGTTTCCTTCCGGATGTGGTGGCAGCGCTGATGCGGTTCTTCCCCTGCATGCATTTCCAATACCCGGAACGGAGCCATCGTTACTTGCAGTTCGATGTGACCACAAAATGCCACGATGTGATCCCGCAGCGGATTGGAGCGATCCTGTCTGCCTTTTCCCTGGGCGCTCTCCTGGGTCCTGTGTACTGGCTGATGGTCGTACAGAAATCGAAGGAGTGGCCAAACCGCAAGCTTACGCTGGGGTTTCTCATTTCCGGCTACAAGGAGAAGGCACCCTCTTCACTGTGCTTGGTTAGTTCTTTTTGGGTCCGACCTCGGCATAGGTGTTTGTCACTTTAAGAAATGCTGCTTCAATCGAGCTGCCAAATCGCGAGGTGTGTTGGTGGGAAGCAACAGTGTTGGTGCGCAAATGTGCAGTGGCGGTGGTCATTGCGACGTTTTCAGCCACGTACTCACCTATGCTTTACCTTTCGAACTTGCTCATGGTTGTCGCTTGGCTCGCATTCTGGCACTGCATGATTCATGCCGTTTTTTTTTCCATTATTATGGCTTGGCCTAGCACTGCGCAACATGGCTGTGGGTCAAAACCCCGTCACCGTGGTTGACCATTGAACATTAACAAACTCCTTAGGGAATAAGAGTTTTGGACTCGCAGCCACATTGCTGCACAAGATTGCTTTTTTGCGACACCTCTATGTGCGTAAGTGGTGCTTGTTTGGGTCCCTGAAGTGCTGTCAGGTAGGCACAGCACTTGCCTGTCACGCCTTTGTGCAGCCGTACAACGACAAGTTCTTGAACAAGTTGGAATTTGGCACACTCATGGCATCGTTCGTGGCTGCTTCTCGACCTCATTTGACTTTGATTTAACCACGATTAGTCTGATTCAGCTTGATTAGTCTCATGCGCACACTTGTCCGTGGCCTTTGTCTTCAGAACATCCTCGGCGTGTTAGCCATTTAGCCTTTGGGAACGATCCCAACGGTGTCATCTTCCCCCTGAAAAACACCCCCAAAACCCCGCCGAACCGGAGCGCGGCGAAGCGGAAGAGAGACAGCGAACGGAGGTGTTCTGCACGTGCCTCCTGAAGCTCGAGTCGCTGGACTGGGCCGCTGACCGGGCCGTGGCTCGGACGGGGTGAGAGGTGACGGTGCTTCCGGTGCTTCGACATGGAGGTGGTCTTCGGTCTTCGGTATACCAATCGAAACACCAACCGGTAACCAATTGATTGGGGAGAAGCAAGTCTTCCAACCAATGATACCAATATCCTTCCCCTCCTTTTGGAGACAGAGTGATATAATTACAGTAGTCAGTTAAGTCAAAGCTTTTTGTGCTGTTTGTGCGGCTTTTGTTTTCTCCTTTCAAGTTGATCACCCAGGTCACCATTCCAGCCCTTGTGGTTCTCTTTGTCGCGGTGACCGTGCCTTCGGTTGGGCTCATGGTCTTGTATGTCAAAGAGCCTCATGGCGACAAGAGATGGAAAAAACACATCTTCCGAAACACTTGCTTGATGCATCCAGAAGCGTTTGGAAATCTTTGCATGCCTTGCAACCTCTTGCACGAACTACTGCCAAACATGATCAGACATCTACCATCCTCTACCACTTTTGTCGCGATGTCAGGCTAGTGATCAGCTCTCCGATGGTGGCCTGGACGATGATGGTCTGTGCAGCTCGCCATCGTTTCACGAACGAAGACGACGGCCTCTAGCCACCAGCCTCGAGGGGACGACGGGAGCTTCCCGTTTCAATTCAGCTGGAGCGTCTGCTCGAACGGAACGTCTGCTTGACGGACAAAAAGGCAGCCGATGCGGTGCGATGATAAAGACGACGTCTTTCATTTTTGCATAAAGACGACGTCGGGTTCGGAAGGGTTCCGGGGTTGGTGTGTGATTCGAAAGGTTGGACACATCAATTTATCCCTGTTTGGTCAGGTTCTCTTCCCTTTTTTCTATCCGGAAGTGAGCTCTGAACCTAGGTCATTTGTGTGGAGGGAGCTCAGCGCGACTTTGCAGGCGGGGCACGGTGCCGAAGAATACTTTATACCCAAACCACCTCAGGTCGCGGTGACGAAGTGCCGTTTTCAGTACGAAGTACCCTGAGCATCAACGAAACGAGGACCGCTTTCAATCAGGCCAACTATATATATATATATAAGTAGATGTTTATGTGCTATTATTGTCTCTTTTTGGTTTCTTTACACATGAATTTTCCTTCATGTGAATGGTTGCGGCCTGCAACTGATGGACCCACCTGTTGAAACCCGCTCTGGTTCGTCATGGCGAGGCATCCTGCATTTCGGTTGTGATGTTGTCGATTTACCCAAGTTCGGTGGTGGATGGATCGCCATAGGAGCCTGTGCTAACATGAGTTACTTTCATTTACTTTCTTCATTGTCTTCGTGTGGCAATTGGATGGACAAGAGAATTTTGTTTCTAACATGTTTTTTTTTGCCCGTTCTTTTTCCAAATGGAGCTCTTCAGCTCTTTACGAGTCCTTTGCTTCGTCCTCGCCGCGTTCCAAGGCCGAGGGGGCATCCCATCTCTCTCTCCCTTCGAGCAGGCGGAGTCGGTTCCGGGCGTGCTGTATCGAAGATGTCGGTCAGAGAGCGACGTGAGAGCACCTCCTTAGAAGAGAGGCTTCGGATCTTCCCAGCCTGTTTTTTCAAGTGTCACCAATAGCTTCTTGTTTCTAATGGCGTCCTTGTTACTACTAGTCTACTAGTAAGGCACTTGTTACTAGAAGCGATGCACTTACACTTGTTCCTAGTAGCGAACGTTGTTACTAGTCATCTCCATTTCCACCCGATGTTTGGACTCCCACGAGTCGGGTGCATCACCCGAACCACCTGGACCCCGAACCCTCCACTTCCCCCGCTGTGCAAGCCCTCCAAGGCGGGTTTCACGACCTCGGACACCTCGGTGTGGCTTTCTGAGGGGCCTTGTTCCTCACTTCCGGGGACTTCCGGTTCCACGTCTTGACATCCTTTGACCCCCTTGGTTGGAGCGACACGGAGGAGTGCACTACGTGAGTCTCCCCCGGCAATTCGACTATCTGAACACTCTCTGTTACCCCCAAAAAATGCCAACTGGTCGGACACCTCGTCTCCTTGTCGCTCGGAGCGACGTCGCTTGTCGCTTGGTGTTGGTTCGGTGTGGTGTTTTTTGGTCCCGAAGGGGTGCGGTGTTCGGGGCGGTTGCGGCGGTTGCGCGCTGGGTGTTTCGTGCCGCGCAGATGTTGCTTGTTGGATTTGGAGGTGCCATAGCTGGATCTTCCAACATGTGACAAGCTTATGCCTTTTCATCAATAAAAACCAGCCAAGTTAGGCAGAAAGTTGGCATAGTTGGAAGATCCATTTCCATCGCCAGAGGTGATAGATTCGGGGTGTCCCAAAAATTCATACGCTACCGGGTTTTGGTCCTGGTTAGGGTCCTCTTCATGGGGTGGGTATAAATGTATGTAACGATTCCGGTCCCATTCGTCTGGTCTGCGTGGGGAACCTTCGGCTGGACCTTCCAGGAGCTGCAGGCTTTGCATGGCATCACTCTCGGTGAAGGCTGGCTCTTTTCGGTGCAAGACTTGTGGTGGGGTCGGGGTCGCTACCAATTCATAGCTCCACCCGGCACTGGGTCTCTCGGAAGCCGCCCCAGCCCAACTGGATAGACAGGACACCCCTTTCATTCGGAAGGTCCAGCTATGCTGAACATGCAGACTCGTCCGCCTGCGAACCCTCGCAGCTGCGATTTAGCGCCAAGCCCCCACCGTGGCTAGCGGCTAGCGCACTGAAAAAGCAGTATTTTCGAAGACGCGGAGATCAATTTCAATAGGGGAATAAATCCATTGTAACCCCCCCACTTCGACTCTAGGATTTAATTTTGCAGAAAGACAGTCATTTGGCGCCAGCATCCAAAGGTAGAGGATGGCGCATGGATCGTTGAAGGATCGATCAACGGTACTCGATCGAACGCGACCGCACCAAGTCTGGTCCGATCGAACATGGTTTCCTCCATGGCGATGAGACGGTGGGCTGCAGGCAAAGGGGCGAAATGAGCGAAAGGAATTTAGAATTAAATTAAATCTAATTTAATCTAGCTTCTTGTTACTACTAGTAAGGCACCTGTTACTACTAGCGTGGCACCTTGTTACGAAGTTCGAGCTGAAGTTGATCATTTCGAAAGGAAGCGAACCTGGGACGAGTTCACTTGAGCGACTGGCGTCGAGATGGTCGTTGGGGACAGGTTGCTGGGAGATGACGAGAAGGTGATCTGTGAGTGTCGTTTTCAAAAGAAACACCGTGACTTTTGCTCCCACAAAGATGCGATCTCCCAGACTTGGGACTTTTGCTGGTGGACATCCCGGTGAAGCTCGAATTGACGCTCATGCCTTCCAAGACTGCGATCTGGTGGCCGAAGTGGTCATCCCGAATGAGTTGTGGACGCACGTTGGATTCGGTGCCTTTGGGAGTTGCACGTCTTTGACGAAGTTGAAGATTCCGGACTCTGTGATGGAGATTGGGGAGGGTGCCTTTAAAAACTGCAGCTCTTTGGGGAACCTTGCACATCTTGCACCTCGATGACATGCATTTCGGAAAATGCCTTCCAGGGTTGCACAGCCTTGACCAATTTAACCATACCAGACTCAGTGACTCACATTGAGCAGCAGGCCTTTGAGAAGTGCATTTCTTTAGCGAGCTTCACCATCCCAGAGTCGGTGACCCACATTCATCATGCAGCCTTTGAGTGTTGCAGCTCTTTGCAAAGCTTGGCCGTCCCGAACTCAGCGACCCACATTGGGAATTTTGCCTTTCAACTTTGCAGCTCTTGGCCGAGCTTTACAATTTCAGACTCTGTGACCCACATTGAGAGTGGTGCCCTTCAGGGTTGCAGCTCTTTGACGAAATTGACTATCCCGAACTCACTGACCCACATCGAAAGTTTTGCCTGCGAGGGTTGCAGTTCTTTTTTTCACAAGCTTGACCATCCCAGGCTCTGTTACCCACATTGGGCGTTGTGCCTTTGATGGTTGCAATGCTTTGGTGAACTTGACCATACCGAACTCTGTGACGTACATTGGGGATACTGCATTTGGGAATTGCAGTTCTTTGTTGAACTTGACCATCCCGGACTCAGTGACCCACATTGCAGATCGTGTCTTTGTCCTTAGCAAGCTTGACCATCCCAAGGTCGGTGACCCACATTGGGGATTCTGCTTTCGAGAGGTGCTGCTCTTTGGTAGACTTGACCATCCCAGACTCAGTTACCCACATTGGGCGCAATGCCTTTGAGGGTTGCAATGCTTTGGTGAACTTGACAGTCCCAGACTCCCTGACTCACGTTGGGGATAGGGCGGAATTGCAGTTCTTCGGTGCAAGGCTTACCCAGGTCTCACGAGCACAAGTGTTGCAATGTGATGTGAGATTTTGGTCATGGAACGACCTGGAAGCACAAGTTTCGTAATGGCTCTCTCCACAGTCTCCACATCGCCCTAAAGTGGCTTCGTGAGAGTCCCTGTGTTCGGACTCTTACTTGGCCAGAGTCCCAGCAGTTGACTCCCGTTTTATTTCAATCTGCAGACAGCTGCAGATGTCCTGGAGTCGAATGCCGTTCTGAAGGTCATTTTCCATTGCCGTTCGCCCGATCACTCGCAATCCGTGTCACCCCGCCAGTGAAGCGGACGCTTCGGTACGGACACCCGGAACTCTGGGGGTCCGGAGTTGGGTGAGGTAGGCATTGGAGGCCCTGAAGAGGTGAATCAGAACGGCCTGGTGAGCTTTCTTTGCAGGTTGCCCAGGCAGGAGAACCGCGGAACTGACTCCTGTCTCACAAAACGCCCAAGAACGCGCAGTCGGTGTGTTTCATCCCAAAACCGTTTTCCGTAGAGGTCCAGGAGCGGATGGGTCCGGTCCGGTGCAAACCGGTTCGAAGCCCTCATGAAATACTGGACTTCGTCATACAAGTTCACACCACTCAAGGTTCAGCTTTTCAGTTTTCAAGTTTGGATCCAGGACCTGGACTTGTTTCCTCTTCCAGTTCCCAGACAGGTCGTGTTTGGGTTCCCTGACGGGCCGTGCCGTGCCGTACGGTGCGCCGCACACCCCGTTGGGAGTCCGACCGTGTCGTCCGGTTGGGTCTGACCGGCTGGCTCGTCATGTCGGAGCCACCGTGCTCCTCACTTCTGCAAGTCCGACCGTGTGAACCTGCTTTGGTTGGGATCTCTGAGTCAGAGGAATCTCAGGTTTTCGACCTTGACCTTTTTTGTAGGTTCGTCCTCATCGGCCACTTGTTTCTTCTTGACGAAGAGCCGTCGTCCCCATCACCTCATTCCGGTCCCGCGGGAAAAAACACAAAATCAGGACCGCACACACTAGAACCTGGTGTCCCTACCAAAAGCTCAGGAACTGACCTCATTTCAATTGATCTAGGTCATACGCTACTCACTACTCAAATGAGCCCAGACTGGACCTGTTTTTGGACGTGTTCCCTTCTCTTTCTCGTTAGTGCCGCCACGTGTCGAGTGGCCCGTGTCGATCCACGCGGAGGCGCCCGGTCGCTTCGGAGGCCGCAGAGGCGCCCGGGCGCGATCACGGTGATCACGGTGGAGGGTGGTGAGCACGTGGCAGGACTATGAAAGAGTGGTCATGACGTCAAGCTGCTCTCACCAGAGTAGAGAGAGTTGATGCTGGTGATGCTTCATCGGTTTCTATGCTTTTGTAGTATTTTTAATCAATTTTACAGCAGCACACACGATCAATTCGAGCGCCGATGACATGATAGCGATGAATAACACACATATGTTTCCGAGGTTTGGTCCCGAATTCTGACGTCAGCCGATGACCGGCGTCACCGTCTCAAGACCATATGCAATGTTTTCTTTTTAGGTGGGGGTAGGAAGCTACTAGTAACAAGTGCCTTACTAGTAGTAACAAGAAACTACTAGGAACAAGTGCCACGCTACTAGTAACAAGTGCCTTACTAGTAGTAACAAGAAACTACTAGG